TTGCGGGACTTGTTGTTGCCTCGCGGCTGGACAGAAGCCACCTGATCTCCGTCACTTGATGTTGGAGTGGCTGCTGGGTTATCTCCACTGTCCGACTGGACTGCAGCGAAGTGTTGCTGTCGTGGACCAGTTTGTACCTTCTCCACATAGGTCGGCTGCCATGTTGACCTCTCGTGTGCAGCTGACCTGTTGGTCTTGATGATCTCTCTCGCCTTGTCGATAATCTCGGCGAAAGTGGAATACTGCTCGCGATAACCAAGAGCCTCGCTCAATGCCGCACAGGACCTGTTGTAGAACTCGCGGCGTAGATGCGTGAATGCCAATTCCAGATTGGGCACCGCCACAATCTTCTGCCACTCCGTGAGCCAATCCCGTGTTGCAGTGTTGCTTTGTGACATGGTGAACAGACGGTTAATGGCGAGTGCCGGCGCGTCGTCGACGATGAACCGCTTCTTCCACAGCCGTGTCAGTTCCTCCCATGTGAGTTTGTCCTTCAAGTCTGCTACGTCGACGCCGTGAGAGGTTGCCAAGTGGCTCAACCAGGTCTGGCATCCGCCGTTTGAGTTCAGGAACAAGGCGCCGATGTACGCATGCTTGGCTACGGGCTGAATCCTGAGTTGCGTTGTGAATGCTTCCCACCAGAGGACCGGATCCTGCTGCGTGTAGTAGTCGAACTTGTCCAGTTGGAAAGTTGGCATCTTGTACATCTTCGGATTGTCCTCCGTGTTCGTCGACTGCAGCTGCTGGACCTCGGTCTTCAAGTTATGCAGCTGACTGCTGATGGTGGTCGGCGCAGCGAAGGTGCTGATGTCGCCGAGCATTGCCACTACGTGGTCAACGCGTTCCTCCAGTTGGCGGCTAGAGGATGAGCTGTTGGAAGCCCCAGAAGCTGGTCCTGGTACAGCGTTCTCCAGGTCCAGCATTCGGGCATTGAGTGCCCGAGTTGCGTCCTCGTGGCTCTGCACTGTGTGGCGGAGCTTCGCCAACTCCTGATGCTGTTGCCTCAGGTTCTGGTACTGCTTCTCCAACTCGGACTGTTGGTAGTTGCACGTGTACAACAGCCGTGTCACGAGTTTTGAGAGAAACTCCTTATGCTGCTCTTCCGGTGTCGCGTCATCGCCGTTGGGTTCAAAGTGTCAGAATTTGAGTCTGTCCACGCTGGCTGCTTCATGCCGCTGCAGCAGGTCCTGGGGTTCCTTGCAGCGAGCCTGGGCATCTGCGTCCACTTCGGCCTGTAGCCGGAGCTTCTCTGCTGCTGCCGCTTCGTCAGCCTGTTGCTGGGCAGCCTTGACTGCCAGCTGGCGTTGTTCCTCAGCCGCGATTAGTGCGAGCTGAGTTTCGAACCATTGTCGGTATTCGGCAATGGATTCATTTGCCAGTTGGCCTGGCATGCCCAGAAGTGAGCCCGTCATGGTGGCGGGGCAGTGCTGACGTGGCACTGGTATGATGTGGCACTGCTGACGTGGCACTGCTTACGTGGCACTATCTGACGTGGCATTGCTGACGTGACACTGCTTACATGGCACTGTGTCTGACGTGGCACTGTGTCTGACGTGGCACTGCTGACGTGGCACTGTGTCTGACGTGGCACTGCTTACTTGGCACTGTGTCCGACGTGGCACTGCTTGCGTGGC